TCTGAAGGTTCCCAGAACGTTCTCCTAACCTCTTTACTCCGATACCGCTGCTGTACGTCAGTAATCATCCAGCACTCCCGCGTCTGGTAGAGTAAGCGGCATAGAAGACGGACGGATATGTACCTCAATAATCAGTACTAAACCATGTCTTGTTTTAAACTATTGTTCAATCATTAAAGATAATCAGAGCACATTTAACCATCATAAGGAGCATTAAATGAGATTGAATTATCCGTTCATTGTCCGTTTAACTACCATGTACCATATAATAACCCAGATTTTACGCTTCTTAAGCACCAAATAACAATAACTTCAACAAAATATTGGGTTTTAAAAATGTGAATTTTATTTTTCCAGACATTAAAAATGAATAACATTTATTTGACTTTAAGTAGGATAACATTTCATTCATTTCTTACCACTGAACTAACGATGATGTGCTTTTCTCTTTTGGTCAGTAAAAAAAAAAACTAAAAAAAACCTCTCGTTTAACATGTTCTCTTCAATTAGACGTGTCAAATCTCTCTGAAATCACAATATTTACTCTCGCATATATTAATTAGAAGTATTTCTTCAATAAAGATTTCAATAAACGAATGCTAGTCAGTCAGTAAAACGAAATGACCGTTCATTTTTAAATTATGCGTGTGCGCGGCTTTATGTGGAAGACAGGAGAAAAGCGCGTGCAGATCAGAGGCGCGCAAAAAGATACAAACAAACCCAGTGTTTATGATATGCTTTTCAGACTACGCTTAACCTTGGCTTAATTTCAGCTATAAAATTGGAATTATATAATCATTATAATGCGATTTGACTACTTTGATGCCTACACTTTATTAAAAGCTTATTTCAGACATGAAATTCTGCAAAAATAGTTTATGATTAAAAAATACACATTTCAGCATTAGAATAATCAGAAACATCTGCAAAGTTTTAATTAGTTTACATGGTTATGACAACTAAAAATAACCTACAGGAAACGTTCTGGAAACGTTCCCTTTAGGTTATAAAATTAAACCTAAAAATAACCTGCCTTTTGGTTATTTAAAAATAACCTACAGGGAACGTTCCTAGAACGTTCTTATTTGGTTCCCAAAAAAATAACCAAATGGGAACCTAATAGGAACGTTATGTGTTTGTTGGGGTTAGAACCTTTGAAGCTCCCTCAGCGCAAACACAAATATGCTGATCGGGTCAGTCGCACAGCTGCTCCTAAATATTATTTCATAGTCGCACGCAGTAGTTTTCAAATGGTCGCACTGTAGAGCCCTGAATGGCGCACGTTGCGTTCCCAGATGAACGTTATAATAAACCCAAACTCACAACTACATGCAGAGATGGAGTTTGAGACGCTCCACACATGTAAATAATAACAGTTCCTGTGGAACTACTGTGAACGGAGCCGCTGTGTGACGCACGTACTTAACCTACACGCATGTAAATAATTAAAGCGCATATACTGTATTAGAACTGCATCGCATATAATTATTTAATTAAATTGTAGCGTTTGTGAATTCACAATTATGCTTAATTATGATTTTTAAATGGGTTTAATATATCATGCAGCCTTGGGAAACAGTCTAATAATGGAGAAGGGTATAACTGCAGCCCGGAGATTTCCAAATGGGGGCGGGAACTCCAAAACGGGGTGGGAGCTCCAAAATAGGGCGTGGCTTCCTCCCATTGACAGACAGGCACATTACACGCATGCGCAATTCCCCCCCCCCAATCCATCCACTTCAGTGCAAACTCCGCCCCACAGCTGATTCTAAAGATTTTATTGGTTGTGTCAATCACA